ATTCACAGAAACTTTTTTTACTTAGTGAAAATATTAACTTGGTCCAACAATATTCATTATTGCTATACTCACTTTATTTTTTTGGCCTTTGGTTTGTCCTGGTGGATATTTCATCCTCAAACTTAATGCTGTATCATACTTCCCTGCATTGTATATGGAAAAACAGAGGGTGCTGCATTTAAAAGGGAAATTGTGCACTTTCCTATAGGAGGACTATGAAAAGGCCACTTGGTCTTGGATAATAGCACTCATTGTCTGAAATTTGTGAGCTTGTTTGCTGTAGCTGATGGTGATAGAAGTTCAAGTACAATCACACATGAAAGAATGTGATCTTGCTCAGCAGGAAAACCACAATAATTATCCTAAATTCTGTTCATGTTGAACACAGCAACATGAGAGACTGTAAGCGGAATATTAAAAGCAAGAGGGAGGATAATATTAAATGTGCCTTTATGTTGTAGTTTAAAGCTGCAATTAATGTTACCTAAAGCATATGCCTCAAATGATAAGTTGTTATTCCTTGTGATCATGGTATACATATTATGAAACTCCATGAAGAATCCTCATGCAATTTCCAGGATTTATTCATCTACTGATTACATACAGTAAAGCAAAAATCCATTTCCTGTTCAGAATCTAAGCAGTGTGTGTGTGTCTGTTTGTATCCACATACTAATGCACATACAAAACACACATACCATTAATAATCATATGAGATGCTATTCTAATCATCTTAACCTAAACTTTGCTCGATAGCAGACATCCTTTCCAATATATTTGGACTTTTCAACTGCAGAACAATGAGGTTGCCACATTTATGCATCATTTTTATGAAATTCAATGTGAAGGTCTCTAAAGCTCTCTGACCCATTGGGCCTTGCCACGGACATGCTAGGTATGAGTTATTAATGCAGTCTACACAATCAGAATTCTATACAGGTCTGTTTTTTCAGTTCCTTGAGATGTTTCTGATGCCTTCAAATATCAGAATAATTTGGGAGTCTCTATAGAAACCTCTACAGGTTCTGCTTGCATTAGTGTAGCATTCATAACCAGCTGCTCTGTATGCTAAATTCCTGTCTCTGATCATAAGTGCTTTAGACCCAAAGCAATAGCCTGGTTTTATTTTTGATAAGAGAAAATTTCTTCTAATGCATAGCAGTAAATCAGTTTTCGCTTTTATCTATCCTTTCATGCATCTTGCTAGTTATGCTGCTTGTACTTGCCTGCTATAGCTTTTAATAAAGGACAAATTCTCCAGGAACAAAGGAAATGGATGTTTTCCCAATGGAAGGCAGCCTGTCTTCAGAGGGTCTTCTCAGATTTTTATTATTACATTTTGTACACTCTTACTATAATACATATTTTGTTTCTGATTCACTTCCTCTAGATGCATCCTGATTCATTTTCAGTAGTAGTCATGCTTTAGCCTTTTTCCCTTGGATATTCTTCTTATGCTCATCCACTTTGTTTTAACCTAACAGGATTCTATTTCATTTCATTTCATTTTTGTTTATATTCAGATTTTTTAACTTTATTTCTGTAAAGGTGTATCCTTCACAAAATAAAGTACTTCTGTTCCAGTGGCCAGTCAACCTGAGACAGGAATCTTGAAACCATATTCAGAGAATAGAAAAAAGATACAGGAGAACTTGAGGAAGGGAGAGAGAGAGAGAGAGAGAACTTTTTTCTCTTGCATCCTATTCAAATAATTTATTACAAAGGTCTATAAACGTTCAGTTCAGATGTTACTGTGGATGGAACTTTATGATTTCATGGTCAGCTACATCCCAACGTATTCCTACCGTATCCTCCATCTCCATCCTATTATAAAATAGAAAGTTGCAGAAATCAGAATACATCATTTTGATATCAAAATCCATTATACAATGTAATCTTTTCCTTTGTATTTTCTATTGCTCTCTAAATACCTGCTGCCTGCATCATAGTTATCCAAGAGAAAATACCCCTGAATCTAAGATAAATGAAAAGAAAGGTGACAACAATCAAACAATAATGTTCTGCAAATGCCAATTTCTCCATCTTGCCAACCTTAGACTGGAAACTGCCTCTGAAATCTTCCTGAATATCATGTATGTTTATTATTTGTACATGTGTATATACATATATGTGTGGACATATAGATCTAACATAATTATACCCTAAAAATAAGATTAGGAATGTGTCTTGTATTGCATTAATATCTACTGGCTAAAATTAACTGCATATACGAAGGAAGCCTGTTTATAAAACAAATCATACTCATATCACTCTTTTTTATATTAATTTAATTAGCAATTTCACTTATTCAGATAAAAACTAATAAAAAAAGAAAAGATATAGATAGAAAGGGAAAAAAGTATAGCAGATAAAAGAAAAAAGAGAAAAAATGAAGAAGTAACTTCCTGCTTGTCACAAGTATAATGTTTTTAAAACAACTTATCACCTTCTCTTTAATAACAAAAAAGTATCTCTTCATTCCAAATCTCATCTCCTTATGTATAAACAACTCTTAGAACTTTGATATTCAATTCTAATCAGCAAAAGTCCATTATTACCAGAAATAACAAAATATCTTTTTAAACTTAATTAAAAAAACAGAATTTTATCATCCTTTCTTTTCCTTCTGTATCTCACCCCTTACCTGCAAAGAAATCACCAAAACCTCATCATTCAATCATAATCAAAATCCATCAGGTTTTATCAGATAAAAACACATAACTAGATTAATGAAATCAAATAGATTTAAAATACAAAATATATTAATATCTCTTATCTGAGAACAGACCCTTAAAATCTTTTTGTTCAGTCCTGATCAGCCAAAATTCCTTTAATGTTTGTAAGAGATAGCAACCCATATACTTTAGTCTTGATCAAATAAACCAACTTTATATTCCTTTTCGTCATTCCCTGAAATTTTAATCTTTATTCCCCAAATGTTTTCCTTCCATCCTTCCTTTCCTTCTTTCTGTCTTTTTTCCTTCCTTCCATTCTTCCTTATTTATTATTATTATTATTATTATTATTATTTTCTCAGAAAAATCTTGAAAACTTTAACTGATCTCTGTCTTAGAGTTTAATTTTCATTTTTGCTCTTGTTAATTTTTAACAGGTCTATTTGGTACATCCATTGTAGGATATCCCTCTTCTGGTTTATTATTAATATGTCCCCTTTAATTGTGGAAGCCTCAGCCAATTTATTTGTATAGCCAGTTTATCATCTCCTTGCATATCATGTTATTCTTATAACTACTCAATTTTAAATCCACATTTAAACTAGTTTCAGTTTTATGAAATAAAACTCATTTCTCTTCCACGATTATAATCCATTTAGCTATAATGGCAGATATTTTTAAAATTATTTCTGTTGTTCCCTTATGTCCTTAAATACATCCAATGTTAAAATATTGTGTTCCATTATTGGCAAGTAATTTATGTGTTTCTCCTTTAAACACAATCCTTAGCTCTTTCTGGTTCCCTCTAGTGTCCAAAACTTCAAGACCCATCTTATCATGTTTTTATTTTTACAGTTAAAAAACATTAGTATTCCCACAGGAAGTAGACATATAATTAATTTTAAATCAATAATTAATTGATTTAATTATTTAAATATTTAATTATTTAATTTAAATTAATTTTAAATTTTACATCTGTCTGGATCTTTAGACAATTTTAAACTTTCCAAGTTCAACATTCTAATCACTCCTTTTCTGTTTACTCCAAAAAAGATTTTTTTCTCTGAGCCTTTGAATTCATATTTTAAAATCCTTTCACTATGGATTGAAGGAGATTCACCCAGTGAATACTGTAAAACTTGCTGTTCCAAGGCTTCTCAATATTTAAAAAATAGTAAAAAATTAATTCCAATAGTTATTAAGAAATGAGGATCCATTCAACATAAAATCCTTAGAGGCTACATTATGCTTCTGAGCCTGATGAAATCCCTCAACTCCCAGCTGTTTGATACACAATCAACCACAAGAATGTCAGTTCCTGCCATCTATTCACAAAGAGCAAATGTCCAAAGTACATATGGATGATCTCAATCTCTCCTTTCTCAGGAGAGATGTCAATGGTTGAATCCAATATCCAGACACCAATTCAGCCATAATGTTCATCTCATTGTTCAGGGATATGTGTTTATCATGTCTCCACTGGAAATACTCCTTTTTGTTTTATTTTTTAGCCCTGCCAAATGCAAATTTGCACACGTTTACATATATACATTCCTTCCCCTTCTAACAGAATCAAAATGAAAGAGGAAAGGGTTGAGAAAAGAGAAGGGGAGAACAAAACTAGATTAAGAAGGGTAGATATCTTCACACAGAAGAAAAGGGATATCTTGTTAGATATCACCAAAAGGGTTGGAATTCTAGGTAAGAAGCCCTAGACTGGCAACTATCTACGAACATTTCTAAATTTTGGCCATCTATACCTCTCATCCATTTCCTCATTTTCACAACATCTTCTAATCTTATGAAATGCCCCTTCTTCGAAATCATAGGTAATTGTTTAGGGAAAAATCTTGCCTCCTTATTAGGTAAATATATGTTAGAGAAGGAGTGACAGAGCCTATGGGGGGGGGGAGATCAAAAGAGGAATTAGCCTAAAGTCTCTACATTCCCACAAACAGTCTAAGTCCAAACCCTCTTAAATTCTCTTAACCCTTACCTAGCATCAAAATAGTGCTGTTAGTTGACTAGATTCCTGTGCTTAGATATGAGCAATAAATCAGTTTAATTGGAAATTAATGTGTTCTTTCGTGCCTGACAATATGATGTCTATTTCTTTTGTATTTTAATACAGAAATATTTTGCAGCCTTCTTATAATAGTGAGATGTGTCATTTCTCAAGTAAGAACAATGACCATCATTTGCTCACAGCCATGCAATAACTTGTGGTTGCAATAGAGACAGAATCATGATTTCTCAGGAACAAGATGCGTGTATAACAAGCATATGGGAAAAGTCTACAAACTTAATATCTTTCTCTTGTCACAGAAACGAGTGTGCAAAAACTTGGAGACTGTTCCACAGGCAATCAATCCTTGCCACCCATTAAGCAACTGTTTTATGGATTACTGGGCTGTGAAGCAGAATTTGAAGGAGAATGATCTCACTGAATTGTTCAGACCTCAGATTATGAAAGAGAAACCAAGTTATACGGTATGTTTTATAAGCTCAGATCCATGCTATTAGGTTCCCTTTTTTATAACAAAGATGTCAAACAGTGATTATTAGGTTGTTTTGAGAATTCTGTATATATGTGCTTATTAATCAGATATTTACGAATAATGACGCCAAAGCCACTGCCCAGCCATGTCCAAGATGTATTGCTGGCGAATCTGTAAGTATATTAACCCTCTTACTATGACATAAGATAGGCTTGTTCTTAAATATTAGAGCCATAAAACATAAGGTTAATAAAAAAAAACAGCAATTACATTTCTCAGGGATAAAGCATGTAAATAAAAGCAGCAGATTGATTTAGTTTTTTCTTGGTATGCTAGCAGAGTGCAAACTAATATGTTTCCTGCATTAGGTTGAAAATATAGGGAGTGCAGGCTCGTTTTTCAAACACACTCTCTAGAAAGCAGAATTTAGTCACCTAAATTAATCTCAATGCAAGTTAAGGCATGTATTACTCTATTCCTGTTTGGAGACACTTGAGATTTACAAAGAGATTTTAGAAGTATTTCTACAAAATTGAAAAAGTGGAGAATTGCATATTATTCTTTGATATGTTTAACCTAAGATGTAACTTAATTCAACTAGATTTTTGTGGTTAAGCAGAGTTGCTTTTAACCCAAGGAAGATGATATTCCTCCAAGCCAAAATTCTTAGTGCGAATTTCCAAATATTTTAGTGAGGCTCTTAATTCCATTCCCAGCTGCACATTTTTTTAAAAAATTTTAAGACTGAATAATTAGCCAGAGCAAAAGTAAGGAAATAAACAATTAAAATAAAGTAAATAAGGGCATGATTTTTAACTTATTTTCATCAAGCTAGACTAGCCCTTAGAATTGAAATCTTCATTCATATTATAATACTATGAGAGCCAGTGAAAACAGAGTTATTGATGAACAACTTTGATAAATGGAAAATTAAGTCTGAGTAAATATTTTATTTTGTTCTTATGTAATATTTGAAGTAGATTCTCCTTCATATATTCCACAGTGATGTTTCTTGAAAAAGGAGGTAATGCTTTTTAACTAAAAGTTGATACATCTTTTATCTTAGGATGGCTGCATTGTATTTCTAACTTTTATTAGCCATAAACTTAAGAAACATTGAGAAACTGAAATGATATCTGTTTGCTTAATACTGTAGCTTTAAAGAAGGATTATATGATTTCATGGAACATGTTTTCATAGATAGTAGCCAAGAGAGCTACTACTCTTGTTACCAGCACTGAAAACAGAGTTTGGCTACTTTAGTATTCTCATTTTGTCTTGCTGACTCTTCTTTAAAAGAAAGCTGGATATTGTGCGTTTACCAAAGTCATTATTATGTCATTTGAAAGAAAGAAAAAAATAGTGCAGATTCAATTTAAAAAAACCTAGGCTTTTGGGAAATTGCATTGGGGTTCACACATTGTGCTAAGATTTAATACGACCTATTTGGTTTTGATAGTGAATTATATGGAACCAACCGTTGTAGGCTGCAAACTTGCTTTGTACTTCAATGTGGTAAATTAATCCAACCAACTTGAGTTATTTAGCAATCCATGCTGGATGTCAGTTCAGCCTTTATCTGAATGAACATGTCCAGCTCTAGTTAGTACCTGACTGTCAGCCACATGATTCTTTTTCCAGCCTAGTAATTATAAGCTCTCAACTTTGACAAAACTGCAAATCTTGCTGTAGTACATTTCTTCTATATCTTTATTGTAATAGAAAATATCTGTATAACAAACCTTGCTTTCAATTAATACAATTTATTTTTCATTACAGGGACATTTTGGCCATATGATGGGCTTATAGAAGATCATTGATACAACAGTCCTCAAACTTATGTATGATAAGCTTGAGCTGCTAATACTTTCTCCACTTCTCTTAAAAACTCCTGTAGGTTTAAAAAAGAAATAATATGTAACATTTTTAAAAAGTATTTTCAGTAGAATTCCATTTTGGTTTACTTTTTAATATTCTGTATTATCTATTGTTTAGAAAAAAAAGTTCTTCACTTCTAATACATACATATCATGTACTATTAGAAGCATATTTTCCCGACTATAAGTTCTTAATTGAATTATTTTCACTCTTTGCATTGAACACCCAAAATGTGTGTTGTTTCCATATGAATTGTGACAGCAAAGGTCAGAATTAAACATATGTTTCAAAATAGAGATCTATTCTCCCAATCTCAAAATAATATTCAAAGGAATTAAATTTTGCTGATTAGCAATATTCTGTGCACTTCCAATATTTGTGCTATTTCCTAATACGATCCCACAAATTCTAGAGTAAGAGGGACTGGAGAACTTTAGAACTCACCCCAGAGAGCAATAAATTGGGAGAGACTCTTGTTGACTGAATGAATCCTATCTGAGCGATGAAAAAATGAAATTTTAAGATAAGAACTAGTTCCATTTTACATGAAATAAAAAATGAGTCAAATGAATTGCTTGCAGTTCTTTGCTTGCAGCTAATAAACCTTATTTTAATCTGCATATTTGCTGACTATGCCATAAAATGCATTTGTGGTTGTCTGAATTATTTTAAAATGCAAGATTAAATTAATTACTTTTAAAATAATTTTTAAAAAGTATCCATCATATACATTTTCATGGATTTATTTCTAATTTAACATTACAGCAAGAAGACATAGACCTGCTTCTAATAACAAAGTTTACGGAAGCACTTTAGGACCTTTTAAAAATAATATATTTTTATACTAAATGAATTAACAGAAATGCATAAGTAATGGCAGCACTGTAATGTAATATCAGAATTTAAATAAAAGTTGTGCCATATGATTCTATGCATTTTAGGTGAAATATTTAGCAGCTGAAACCTGATGAATTAAACTACCTGTGGTTTATTGCTCCTTATTGCAGTTCAATCAAATACATTTTGCTCGTGATTGTCATATAGTTATGAATAAAATATTAAGAATATAATTGAGGAGAGGGAGTAGAATTCAGTTTTATTCTACCACAAAACAGCTATAATACGCCTTTGCAATCCAAAGACTGAAATACTTCATTTATTCCTTCAGAATTCTATCAAGAAAACAGTTTCCAAATCAGCAGCTTGAAGAGACCTAAGACTGCATTCTGATGGACACTTATCTGTGAAAGAGTCTCAGTGAACAAGTGTCAGGGTTTGTTTTCTCTATGTAATATTTTACCTTCAAAGGTGAGGATGGCCTTCACACTTACAACCTTCCAGGAAGTTAGAAAGGCTGTTTTTCTTTTGGGGTGATTGATTCCAAAGCTGCTAATTTAGTTTTACCATACAATATTTGTTTATTATTTACATGAATATTCTATAAGTTGCCCAGAGTCTAATTGCATTGAGTTGGTGTGTACATTTAATAAAAAAAATAAATTAAGTGTGTTAAGCGACATTTCCTTAAATCTCATAGGATTTTGGCAAGGTGCATCCCATCTCATCAGGCCCATCCGGTATTGGCAAACATTGGCTGTAGTGTGAGACTGTAATGTAGAATCCAGCATTCTGTAGATTCCAGACATGTAATCATTGCCTTTAAATTTAGGGCTGAAGCTTACATGAATCATTCATTAGATTCTACATCTTCTTATTCCAACATAGAGGATAAAACAGAGGTGGCAAAGAGGATGAATCTGTCTTCCTTTATGTCTCACACTATTTACTAGAAAATAAATGTGGAAGTGCCCTTCACAAATCTGAGGTTGTGGTTTGTATGTATATTGGAAGACTTTCTAGACCAGGCACGCCCACCCCGGCCCCACAAGGGCAAAACAAGTCCGATACATTACGACACAGCCCGCAATGCAATCAGGATTGACACTCGTGTTCTAGACTTTTATCAGTTATCAGATATACTTTTTAGTATATCCAAGGTTGATTTTGTTCTCTAGGATCAGGTTTCAAGCACATGCAGATAGTCCTCCACTTATAACCATTTGTTTACTATGTATGATCAAAATTTGGACACTTGGCAACTGGTATGCATTTACGATGGTTGCAGTGTCCCAGGATCATGTGATCACCTTTTGCAACCTTCTGATAAGCAAAGTCAATGGAGAAGTGGGACTCACTTAATAACCATATTACTAACTTAAAGCTGCAGTGATTCACTTAACAACTGTCGCAACAAAGGTTGTGAAACAGGGCAAAATTTAACAACTGTCTTGCTTAGCAACTGAAATTTTGGGCTCAGTTGTGATCCTAAGTTGAGGACTATCTGTAAAACATAAACAGGAGCACAATAACAAAGCTACATTCATACTGGGGGGGGGGGCAGAATATAGCTTTGAGTTTACCTAACACAAAAACCTCTATTAATGCTAAAATGGCACATTTGGAAATAATGGATTAATATAAATGCATTTAAAATGCTATCCGAAGTCAGGGTCCTTGAGGTTGATAGCAAATGTCCCTGCCTGATTTTATGAATTCCCCAACTTGTTTCATAGTCTCCTTGATTTATTTGGAGAATTGATTTCAGGACTCCTTGTTCACTTGTATATATAAAACATAAAACTGAATTCAAGCTCCTGAAATTTAATTTCAACATGAGATATGTGAGCATAATATATAAAGTTTGGGAGGATCTTAGTTACATTATAAAAAGCAACAGATTGTTCTTAATGCTAGTAAACTAGTTTTTTAAAAAATAAATTGTCCTAAAATATTTATGTTGGTAAGTGTTCCATGGGAAAATATAATTTTATATTGTACATCAGACCTTTTAAACCTTACATTGAATAAACATTTGGGGTTTTTGTTCTAAAACTGAGTATAAATTTTGTCTCCAAATCAAATTGGACAAAAATATTACAACCACAGAATTGTTTCTAGAAATGTTAACCACTTTTTTATTTTGTGATAGAATAATTAAAAATATAGATACATTGTAACATTTTTGTATACAAAATCTAAGAATGCTACTTTCCTGAATGTATAGCAAAGGAATTGATAACAGCAGTTTACATTTTGTTGTATAACTTTAAACTGTGTATTTGGTAAATTATATTTTATTTTTTTAAGATGGAGTATTAAAGAGTATATTTGCTGTTAAGGCAGACAATTATGTTTTTAAAAGACACGTTGATATATAAGAAAAAAATATTTTACCTTTCTAAAATTTATCTTGCAAGTCTGCCAAAATTAATTGTATTTTTTGTTCTCCCTTCATTTATTTCCTCAGAAATGAATAAAATAGAATTTAGAAGACTAGTTTGTTATGTCATTGAGAACTGGGCATTTTTCACTTTTGAAAAGTGCACAAACATTAAACATAAGAAAATTCTTATGTGAAATTTCAAATATAAGCTAGCATCAGTGGTGGGATTCAGCCAGTTTGCACCACTTCAGCAGAACCGGTAGCTAATTTTTTATTGCCTAGGCCCAGAATGGACTTCCAGAAGCGTCATCCACACAAAGAACCGGTTGTTCACATATTTGAATCCCACCATTGGCTAGCATATGGTAGAGTTGTCACTTCCAGTTTGTCCCATGGTGATAGTGTCTTGTTCTACTACATATGTTGTTTAAATTACTAATTTTGAAATGATGGTTACTTAAATATTTTCATGTATTTATAATCTGATGTAATTCTCATAGGCTGTATATTTTGCAGTCCAGTTTCACATTTTCTCCTACCCCATGAGTATCTGGTAGAGATTGCCATAACAAAGAAGGTGAAAATAGAAACCTTGGCCTTTTATACTTCTGCTATGATGTCAAGCAGAAGTAAATAAATGAAACAATTCTCAACATGAACATGTCATGTTACATGTTCCATTCTACATCCCCCTCCCATTTGAGATGCCTATACATACATTCAGAGGAAGATAACATTTCATGTATCCATTGTGGATTGTAATCCACAAAAGCATATACCAAATTAAGGATGGGAGTTTTTAAAGTGTAACGAGGATGTCTGCATATTCCCAAACTACTTCTTGAACTCTGGTGAAATATAAACCATGAGAGGATTGTTCTCAGGAAAGCTCAGTAGGACAAAAGACCCAGAAAAAAATGAGTGAACCCTCCTTCTCTGACATGTGAGCATTCGTCTATAATGTGAAAAATAGAGACATGATGATATAGATATTCTATATTCAGCAACTTGCATTTATTCAAAAAGAAAATAAACATTTCAGGGAAATGTAAAAAAAAGGCAGATTTCTAAATCTAACTTTACTTTCAAAGAGGTCTGTTCAAAACTCAAAACTCAAGTTTCATTACAGACCACTTGATTCTCAGACTTCTCCAAGTTTGTTTTCATTTCTCATTTCTTGCTTGCTTGGCTAGACTTTTGCAATCTGCATTCCACAACCTACTTTCTTCAGCAACTGACCTACAGAAGAATCCCTGGAGTTTGTGGTTTGACCTCAAAGCTCTTTCCCCTCACAATTTAAGACCTTGTCTTTTTAGTATTCATTACATTATCATATTCTGAAGTTGCTTGGTAGATCTACTACTTGGTGGTCTTTTTCCTCTTTGTAGTACCCCTACCTCTCATTTGTGACTTTTTATAGATAAACATCAACAATGAATGTATTATTTAAACAAGTAGAATGAGGGAGATGTGGTAGCAAATATCTCAAGTATTGTACTATAACGGATTATATAACAATAACAAAACAAAATAACAGTATAACAGAGTTGGAAGGGACCTTGCAGGTCTTCTGAAGCAGGAGACCCGATTCCATTTCAGACAAATGGTTGCCCAATATCTTTTTGAAAAGCCTCCAGTGATGGAGCACCGACAACTTCCCTCCCCTGGAAGGAAGCCATTTCATTGGTTTATTCTTCCAGGCCAGGCAGAAGAGCCAGATCCACATATAAGGGAAAAGGCCTTGACTTTCTTAACCTGAGTCCCTTCCGGCCCTAGAAAACATCAACCAGAAAAAGATCCTTCCACTTTCATCTGCAAACACCCCCACTCCCCAAATCCTTGCAGATTAAAAGCACCAAGGAAAAGCAGTTCAGAGAGCTGGGGGAGAGGCTCTCTGACTTGTACAGTCCCAATTCTGTTCAGTGCTTCTGCCTGGTACTTTTCCATATATAAATAACTTTCCCCCCAGAATTTTCCCTATGTAAATAACTTTTCCATGGATTAAGTACTACATATGTCAGACTATTCTATTCTATTATGCCACAGAAAAATTTAGGCTCTGATCCTACTGTATATGTACTCACCTGAGAATCTATTTTAACTGAACTCAGCAGGATTTATTTTCGATTTATTTATTTATTTATTTCTGCCTTTCTTAGCCCATTATCTTTTATTTAGGAAACATTGCTTGATCACAATAAGTAAGGTTGGATACATTAGATAAATGTAGAATAGTCTGAGAGCATCAATTACCAAAGTAATAAATTGAATGAAGAAGCTGGTATCATATATAATCAAGATACCAGTATCATTCTATCCCATCTATAGATTGATAAGAACCTGGGCAATGGTTTCAATAATAGAACAATTTCTGTTCCATCTCTAAGTCTTGTGGTTGGAATGAGAATAATATCCCTATAGTGATATCATCAGCCTTGATGACTAACATTTACAGCATTTATTTATATTGATGTTTCACATTTCATTTCTTCATTTTTACCCTTACTGACACTTAACTTTGTGTTAAGGTTTCTTCACTTTTTTTTGTCTACTCCAAAACCATTTTTATTTCCATAAGATCACTCTGAATTTTCTGTGGCCCATTCAAATTTAACTATTTCTTACTCTTTTTGAACAAATTCTTTGCAACTGTCCATTTTCTCCATATACCAATTTCACAATATGTTTTTCTCTATCTCAATTTGTGCCATAATTGCTGACCTTCATACATTTTCTCTTCCATAATACCTTTCACTTCATCATTCCAAGCAAGCATCTTTACTTTAGCGTGACTCCATACGCTTAAGTGGCATTTTGTTACAAAATTATTTCTTGTTAGTCCAACCTATGAATTATGAATATTTATATACTACCCAGTTCCTATTATCAGTTTATTTTGTGAAGTGCCCATAGCAGTCTAGATGGCGCTAATTCATACCTTCTGACATGCATTTCTGATAAATATCTTTCATTTACCATTGAACTATACTTTCATACATGGATTCAAGCTTACTGCGAAGGACAGATGATCATCTGGTTCTATTACATATTTGTGATGTTAACATGCTTCCCTTCCCTCCCTTCCTCTCTTAACCCTCCTTCTTTCCTTTACTACCTCATTCCTTCCTTCTTTCCAAAGCAGTCTTAAAAGAATTTGGACAAACTCCTATAATCCCCTTATTTATAGGCACTTGGCACTTACAGGCATTTATAGGCATTTAGATACTTATTAATAAAAATAAAACATTCTTTCATGTTTAGAGGAAAATGTTATGTGATTTCTGTATTATACAAAGCCTAGAAATATGACTCCAAGCTTTCTCTAAACATACACTATTTAATTAGGGCTAACTTCATGTTGAATGGAATTATGTCTTGGAATGTTTTAGTAATGTTACTTTCCTTTATGAATCTGGCTATACATGTATGCACTTCTACTATTGTTACTAGACTAGTATAGAAACTACTGCATGGATATTTGCTTGCAACACAGGATGTCATTCATGAGTTATACATAAATGGCAGCTTTACATATTTAAAGGAAACATGAACAGCTTCATATCTGAAGTATGCTTCCCAGGGGGTACCACTACCATTTGATCTATTTTTGATTAAAATGTAAAAATTAAAAATTAAATCAAATGGTAGTATAACTCCTTAGGGAAAACATACTTCAGTTATGAAGTATTCCCTGTAGCAACCTTGAAAATCTTACAGCTGTATTGTCTCATCAGTAGGTGGTCCTTTTATGTCACACATAATTAAAATGAATGGCTGTTAGAGAGCCCATACTACTGCATACAGATTTATGAAGCTGGAGGCACCTCCACTCAGATGTAAACACAAAGTAACTGTGAGGGATAAATAGCATGAGGATAGGTATCGGTGAGATATTTCCCTATGCCATAAGAGGAAGAACCAGGTGTATGTCATAAAACATTATGTGCATGTCTAGTAAAAAGAATTTCCTGGAGAAAGATAATAATGCAATTTGATTAAGATCACACTGCCTTTGCTATGCAGTTCATTTCTGCCTTCTTCAGCTAAAGCAGAATAAGAACTTTAAAAGTATGGAGGAATGATCAGTGTCACCATAAATAAAAAAGTTATATTAGATTTACTAAGAAAATGTGCTTTACAAACTCCACTTGTGCGCCCCAGACTCCATGGAGCTCTATTTGATAAGATAGCAAAGTAGGGATTAAGAATGAAACTACAGAATTTGCATTCCGCATTTCACAGAGCCAAAGAACCAAATCTCACAAGTGGTTTTCTTGCGCAGGGACTGTGATTTGATTCCTTCAGCGATGTCATTATTTTCTAAGCCATGATTTATAGCTGCATGTATATTCTGAGGACTGATGAAAAAAAAAATCTTGAAAATACCCAGGAACTACAAATATAGTTTGTGATCCATTGGTAAATTCTACACAAACTGATTCTGTGCTACATAGTAGCTCAAGTTTTGGTACTTTATCCTGAACCATGGCCATGTATAGCAGTGAGATGAAGATCGTATATGAGGCCATACATTTGTGACGTAAATAATGCCAATTTTGTAGTATGTCTTATTTCCGTTCTGAGGACTCAGAAAGAGCTGGTATAAATTACATAATTTTCAAGAATTGGATGATGATCTTATGATGGTAAGATGCAGTGCTTTTTTTCTAAAAAAAAAAAAAAAAAAGATGCTGGAACTCACACACATCATACAACCCGCCTTGCCCACCCTATAAGTTTCCATCCAAAAAAGGTGCCGGAACTCCATTCTGGGCATTCTATGACAAAAAAAAGCCCTGGTAAGATGTCATCATGGCTTAAACTGTATTGGACAGGGGTGATGGAATGAAGAAGCAGCTGAAGGAGGGTAGCACCGAGCTTTCCCAGGAAGGAGGCCATATTTTCAGACAAAAGCCCAAATTAAGAGGCTGTGCAGGCTCCCAAGCTGAAGAGGGAAGGGGGAAAGAGATTCAGTATAGCCTAGAATCGGTTAGGATATACAAGTAGTCCTCGACTTACAACCATTCGTTTAATGACTGTTCAAAGTTACAATGATACGAGAAAAGTGACTTATGACCTTTTTTCACATTTACGACCGTTGCAGCATCCC